AGGACAGCATACTATAGGAGAGAATGTTAGTGACAATTTAATATATAACCTGCTCACCAAAAAATTCCAGTAGAGTGAAATTTGAATGTATATATCATAATGTAACAAGAAATGTTAGAGATAGTATATATGTTTATATCTTTGATTTGATTATCAGGCACTGTATATTTGCTTTGAAAAACCATTCTATACCCCTCAAAGATGCACAATTACTGTATAAATCTTCCATTTGTCTGCTTTCTGTCAAACGCCAGGGTTTTATTATTTTTTTTTTCTGACTGAGTCATATTTTGTAGTATTTTTGTGCCACACTTTTCAATTCATTAGTCCGCTTGTGGGCATTTGGGTTGGTTCCATGTCTTAGCAATTGTGAATAATGCCACAATAGGGACCAGCAGCTGGCATAATGGCTATGTTGCTGGACTCCCACGTAGTCGAATGCGGTTCGCGTCCCGGACCAGTGGCTTAAAACTCACGCTGGGCACGTGTACGTGCGTGCCCAAGATCCCAAGAGGAGAATGGAGGAGAAGGGATTGTGGCATGGCTATCCCCCTTGAGGGGTGATTTCTCACTTTCTATCTCTCTGTCTCTCTGGCGAGCACATGCACCCTATAGCAAAAACCTCTCCAAAAAAAAAAGAAAAAAATAAAATAATGCCACAATAAACATGGATGTGCAAGTGTTAAAAAATTACAATGAATGCTATTGTAAATATTCACCAATGAACTATTTATAATAGGAAAAATTAACAAGGCCCCAAATCAAGGTGCTATGAAGCTGTAGCACATAAACACAACAAATATATTATGGTATTATTTAAAATGACAGATTTCTGAATTGTATGTAATATGTATAGAATTATTTATAATGTATACACAAAATGTGCATGGAAAAGGAGTATCAGTGGAGAAACAAAAAAGAGTGAGGGTGAGTAGGACTCATCCATGTGATGGTAATGAGAAGACATTCAGAGCTATAAGAGTTGGATCAAAGACAAAGCTCAAAGCTCAAACTTGTTTAGACTAAACTGAGGAAAACTTGTGCAAAAAAAATTAGGCGGGAACCAGCAGTTAGTGTAATGGCTATGTCTCTGGACTCCCATGTAGTTGACCGTGGTTTGCGTCCCGTACCCGGTGGCTTAAAACTCACGCCAGGTGCGTGTGCGTGCGTGTCCAAGATCCCGAGAGGAGAATGGAGGAGAAGGGATTGCGGCATGAACATCCCCCCTGGGCGGTGATTTCTCGCTTTCTGTCTCTCTCTGTCTGTCTGGAGCACACGCGCCCTATAGTGAAAATCTCTCCCCCCCAAAAAAAAAAAATTAGGCAAGATATTTATGTCAAAGCAGAATTTTTTAAAAAGATGTATGATATTTGAAGTCCATAGTTTCTGAATATTTTAGGAATATGTTTCATGAAACATGACCTAGGATTCAAAAAATATGAGAGTAAAATCTATTCTTGATATTTTTATAATGCTATTGGCCTCCAATATTACTTTGGTTTAAGAAAGTAGTCAATCCAAGGGAAATTAAGTTTTGATGTTAAATGAAAGATATTCTATGTGTAAGAATTAAAAAAAATGTTTTCTTGCCATTGAAATCTCAAAAGATGAGCAGAAAAATGCAAACGTAATCTCCTTAAAAATGTTTCTTTTAAAATATATTACTAATTATCTTCTTGTTATATGCTTTAATGTTATATGTTATATGTTTTGATATATAATGATAATATATAACATGTTTTTGACCATTGCTCATCTTATACTATTATTAGGTTCTACAACCCTCCTATTCAGTAGTTGCATATCAGCAGAAAGAACAAGCATCTTGAAAGAAGTGTTGGGAATCATCAAATACTTCCCATTGCTTTGCCTCTGACATACCTAACTAGAGAATCAATTTGTCACTTTTTGTTCAATAGACTTTGACGTTGAGTTCACTTTGTATATTCATTAAATATACAAAAGAATCTAAGCAAAGAAAAAAATGTTCGGTAGAGATGAATATTTTTAGTGGTTCATGAATAAAACAGAGAACAATACATATTTTATGCTTTATTGTCTCTCCTAATGGGCCACAAGCTCTGTAAGAGAAGAGACATGTCACTATGGAGTACCGAGTACCCCACACAATCGTGGAAAGTGTTTTCTGAAATGAATGTTCAAAGTGCTAATGAATGAGGAAGTTAATGAATGAATAATATGTCTAAAAGTATGTGTGAGTAAAAATATGACCAGATATTAGCACGCAAGGAATTTATACTAACATTTCAATCTTGGACAACTCTTTGAAAAGAATTTGGCAGCTTCAGCTAATCAAAATTCATTGTTAGCATTCAGTTATGAAGGTATGGCAAAGGAGCTTAAAGAGTATTTTGTTGCCGGGTTTTCACAAAAGTTAGTTCAGTCAAAAGTAATGTTCAATAAACTATGATGTTAGAACCAAAAATCAGTGTAGGCAAGAAATAAAGCTGACTATTTTATTTTGTGGATTGAACATTCTGGAATTTTTTTCTGCTCACCATTATTAGTATAAAATCAACACTGAGCAGATACATCATAAAAAAAGAGATTTGTAATCATTGAGTAAATGCTTTCAATCTTCTTCCCCAAAGAAAACTAAATAAAACACAAAACACAATGTAATACTGAAGTCAAAATGGATCTTTAGGAAGGCATGGCCCAAACTCTGTTTCATATCCTTATCTTACCTCATGTTATCAATTCTAATGCTTGCAATGACTTTTCATTTTAATACTTAGTACTTTCAAAATCTTTAATCATGTAAAGTTTAACTTACAGTTGTATGTTAAAATTATTCTAAGTTTTTTACGATATCAAGTCCCAGGACCAGCAGTTAGTATAGTGGTTAAGGTGCTGGACTCTCACACGGTCAACTGTGATTTATGTCCCAGACCCAGTACCTTGAAACTTAGGCCAGGCTCATGTGTGTGTGTGCCTAAAATCCTGAGAGGAAGATGTAGGAGAAGGAATTGTGACATGGCTATTCCAAGGGGGTGATTTTGATTTTTCACTTTCTGTCTCTGTCTCTCCAGAGAGTGCATGCACCCTATAGAAAAAATCTATCTTAAAATTAAATATATATATCAAGTGCTTGTGTCCTAAACACAAGAACTTAAGAAAATGAGTTAATAGTTAATATTGTTGACATGGACTCAACCTACCATATGCAGTTTTAGAGTCAAAGAGAATGCACACTGAGGAAGCTATCCTTTTATTGGTTAGGAAAAAGTTTTCTTCAATTAGTTTCATGCTCCCATGACAACCTGAGTCAAAGAACTACAGGATAAACTCAAGAAAGCAAATTCAGCTGTCTTTTTTTTTAACTTTAATTTCACATTTTACATAAAGTTCCCATCATTTAACAACATTTTTTTTTTCAATAGAGAACTTTATATTTTTCCTTTTTTTTTTTTTTTTGGGTGGTCTGTTAAATGTTTCTTTCCTTTGCACCTCACATCCACCCTCTCTCACCCACTCTCTACTGGCCACTTCTCTCTTACAATCTCTGGTATCTACACCTATCCTCTCTACTATCTTGTCTTTGGATTTCTGCCATAGAGTCCAGACATTCTGTACGTATTGAGTGAGGATATACAGGCTGTCTCACTTTGCTCAATGTTGAGTGTTCTATATTCATCCACTTTGAATCAAACAATAGGGTTTCATTGTTTCTAATGACTAAATAATGTTCCAGAACATATATGCATCACAGTTTTTCAACCCAGTCATCAGTTTTTGGACACTTAGTTTTGATTCCATGTTTTAGTAATTGTGAACAGTGCTGCAATAAACATGGATGTGAAAATGTCTTTCTGACTGGTTGAGGAATAATTTGCAGAAATGTTCTCCCATCCCAAGGATTGTTTTATTTATTTATTTTTCACTCTAATTGCTGTTTCCTTTGCTGTAAGTAAGCTTTTTAATTTGATGTTATCCTACTAGCCTATTTGGGGATTAAATTCAAGTGTCTTAAACTTTAAATATTTAGGAAATACTAATAGGCAAATAAGTCAGGGATAATAATGAATAAGAGCCAAGTTCAAAAGAAGGTTAGTATATTTCTTAATCCAAATGTTTATTTTTCTTTTTTCTCTTTAACTATTGTTTCAGAATAGGTAACTTGCATCATTCAAGAGTGAAGAGAAAATCAATATTGTCTAGAGATATAACCAAGTAAGTCTTCTGAGAAGTCACTCAACATGAACTGAGAGAGAAACAACAAAATAATTATGCTGTATGATAAGTGTAAGAAATCTGAGGTTTCTTTATTTAATACTTCGAATCTGTAGAAATTTCATGAGAAAACTATTACTTCCTGCAATTAACTTCTGTAATTTGTTCTTATTGACAAATAAGGCAACTAAGCAAGACATGAGAGAAAATTGTAGTATATTCTGCTTTCATTTGTGAGAGGACAAAAGCCTCTTTCTTTCTTAATTCCTAATGATGTATTTTATGATACAATATTGACACGTTGTTTAGCACCTTTAAATACATTAACACATTTTGCACCTCCTACAAACCTGTGAAGAAAATATTTCAAATATGTATGTATGTATGTATATACATATATTAAATATTATAAATATTAAGCTCATGAAATAGAAGGGAAAACTGAAGCTCAAGGAGACCTGTGTGTGACCTTCTAAATATCTAAATATGCAAGACTTATAAATGATGGCAAAGCTGGAGCTCTCAGACTGGAGGTTTTAAAATTCATTAGTTTTCCATTATATTTATCATAAGTAAATGTGTACATTTAAACACACAAGCCAAAACCAATTGCCAAATTTTTAAACCACTTATTACCAGTCTCTGATGTGATTCATAATTATTTAACTGGCAAGCAATAAATGTCATTCCTTTATAGTTAAACAAAAAATACTCTAAAGCCCCAAACTAATTTTCTGAGTAGCAGTTTACTTTCCTGTGATTAAATTCTATGGCAGTTTGATGAATTAAGTCTAGCAAACACTCACCTCTTTTTGACGGTACTTAATGGCCAATTTTAGTCTTGCAAGATCATTTCCACTCTGTTCTTCTATCAAACTATTGTCATCTCGGTAATTAAGAATGATTTCCAGTTCTCTAGAACTTCTTGTCTGATCCAGTAGGTCTTTAGCAAATTGTTTGCATTGTCGTGACAGCTCCTCATACTCTGACTTGAATTCATTTTCCACCTTGCTCAGTTCCTGGAGCTCCCAGCTTAGCTGAAAGGCTGTAAGAAAAGGATCTTCACTTGACAATGCGATGAGAGAGGGACTGGCCAAGGCCTTGTAGATGTTGAGTCTGGAGCGGGAATGACGGAGGCTGTCCACGTCTGAACTGGAGACACATTCAACACAGTTACAGCGGACCTCATGGGGTCGGGGGACTGAGACTCCTTTCTGAACCAAAAGTTTTATTATCTCATAATTATTTGTATGGGCTGCCAAAATGATTGGTGTTATATCTGGAGTAAATTCAGAGAACTGCTTATCCAGGAGTATGGGAGGCACCTAGAAAAGAAGAAGAAAGCAGAGGTGATGAATATTTATTCATTTGTTTAAGCCACAAAATTTTAAACAGCATGCTGTAGCAACGTTGAACAAGATACATAAATTTTTTGCCAGGTGTTTTCAAGAGAGATATGGCTTCTTATTTTTTCAAAAGATAAGAGAAAATTAGAGAAAAAGTAACTTTCCAGTAGATTGACACGTTGTTCTTTCTTTATTCTGAATTATGACATTTTATGTAATCTTAAAATAGGTGGCTATGAAAACTCTTTTCTTCATAAAAGCTTTCTTGCTCCCAAATTCTTTTCTAACTGGCAATGTTTTTCTTTCCTAGAGATGTTGATTCCCTATATAACCAAGTAATACACTGAAAGATAGCTTACGACTTGTCTGAAACCCAAGTTCTGACTCTGCAATGAAAGTCTCTTAATTCTCCAATCCTACTTTTTCATTTGTTTATTAGAACTATGTCTTATCTTCTGCTTTTCTTGTTATAAAAATCCAGCCTAGTGATTAAGGATGGCAGCAGAGCTAGCAGAGCCAACCTCATGGTTTCTCTTTTCAGTTATCCCTTTCTGGAACATCTTTCAGATGACAAGAAATGCTCCATGCTAGCACTATTGTAATTAGAAATAAATAAATATTGCATCAGATCACCATTGTGAATTCCCACTGAATCAAGACACCAATGTAGTTATGAATGATTTCTTTTTGAGTTATACTCTAGCGATGGTAATGATGAAAATAATAATAACAACACAATTTAGTAAACATGTGCTAGATACACTAATTCTTACTCTTATTATGATATTTTACACAGGTATGATCCATCCGAGTAATTGAAAGACTTCTGATTTGAACCCAAATCTACTTGTCTGGCACCTAAACCTGTGTTTATTACACTACATTAGGTTGTTTTGCTATTTTTGGCTTAATATGCATTCCTGTGGCACAAAGTCATTGTGGTGTCTGTGAAAAACACATGCTGTGAAAGGATAAATTAAATAGGCAATGCAGAAAACATGATGACGTATGTCACATTTAAGTATGCTGCTGGGAAAATATAAACTATAATAGGATCAACAGGAAAATGATCATGTACAGAAAACATATTCATACTAAAACTTCAGTGACACTACTTTTAAGTAGAGATATACTTTTATATGCGAATATTTGAACTTATATATGTATATATATATAGAAATCACCCCCAAGGGGGAATGGCCATGCTGCAATCCCTTCTCCTCATTCTCCTCTCAGGATTTTGGGCGCACATGCCCAGGATGATTTTTCAAGCCACTTGGTCTAGGACTCGAACCGTGGTTAACCATGTGGGAATCCAGTGCCTTAACCACCATGTCACCTGATGGCCTTTATATGTTTTTAGTTAATCTGGACATATAGATTATCCATTTGCTTTATAATAAACATGCAAAGATAAAAGAGATGAAATGATCTATTTAAAAGATTATTTTCAGATGTACGTAATCTGTTGAAAATGTTAGTAATTCCTTAAATAATTATTCATTTGTTATTATCATTATTATATCATTATTATTATTATTATTATTATTATTATTATTATTTTCTGACCACAGAGAGACACACAGAGAGAAAGTGAAAGTGAGAAAACAAGCTGCCAGTCTAGGTCTTGAACCATGGTTGGTCATGTGGGAATCCAGCACCTCAACCACTGAATCACTTGCTGGCACCCACAGTAATTTTTTAAATGTGCTTCTAAAAACTAGTGGACTCTGTTGAGATAGAATTTTATATTTAAGTTGGATCAATAAATACTTCATTACTTTGTAAGTCAACATCTGTCATTTTAAAGATTACATTAAAAGAAGATTTAATTTTACAGAAAAATTCCTTTAATCAAAACTTGTGAATAAGAAGTAATCTTTAATAATTAACCTTTTTTTTTTTTTTCCCCCTGTGGCAGATATTTAGGGGAGACAAACAATATAACTAATTTTCTATAATAGATATGTATTTAAATGGCAGGCAGTAATTTTTGAAGTAGTTTTCTGGATTCAGTACAGTTTCATCCTAGATTTCTATACTTTTTAAAATAGTCGAGAATTGTAAATTTAGTAAAATTAAAATACTTGCAGAATATTATAGAAACTTTAAGAAAATAATATAGTAAGACAATATCAAAAATTAATTTTTTTCAGGGAAAATGTAGGTGTTAAAGTAGTAAAGAAAGACAAGGTTAAATAACTGCTTAAAATAAACATTCTGTTTATAAGTTTTAATATTTAATGAATCATCTCTAGCATCTATCTCTTCTAAGGAATCTATCTTTGAAAATGATTTTGAATGGAACCATTTTATGAATCAATTATTAATTTATTAGTCAATAAATAACCATTTTAAATGATAAAATATTGTGATTTTAGAGAATCCTAATATTCTAAAAGTGTTCTAAGTTCAATGATGTTTTATGTTATCTTTACCATGAATGAGCTGGCACTCGCCTGGTCATAGATCACTGGACACGGGTATTGTTTGCCTTAGTGTCCTCCCTGCAAGTCTCAGCTGGGATTCTGACTCAGTGGAGCAAGCAAACAGTATCTACTCAGGTCTCATAAGGTTCTGGTCCTCTCCCACTTATTAAAATAATAACAAAACAAAAGCACTTTGAGAAAATAATTGCCAGTTATACAGTACAAACTGTGTTTGCATTCATTATTACTTGGTGTTTGAAAACTTAAATTAATTATAGCACACCATATAATTAAATATGTAGTTATAACAAATATTCATATACTTCTGTATTTATACTTACGAGATATGAAGCTGTTTCTGGTAATTATGGTATATTTATGAGCTATTAACAAAAACAGTAAGCAGTTAGGTAATCAGGAAAGTTATGATATATTTTTCTTTGCAAAAAAATGCATCGTGACCTTCCCATTGACCCAATATATGCAGATTTTAATTAAATGTAATTAAACTGAGATAAAGATGCTAACAGAATAAGAGATACACTTAACTATATTTTAAAAGAGTACATTATGTTTATAATAATAAAGATGAAAATTCTTTAAAAAAGAAAATTTAGGGGAGAAGAGTGAGAGCAAGGGAATCAAGGAGAAAAACAAGAGAGGCAAAACATTTAAGTGACACAGAAGTAGAAACTGTCTATTAACGTGTATGATATCTTTAACTGGACTGCTGTGCAGTGTATTCATGCTGAGAAAGTTCATTTTGAAAGCTGGGGTGAGGTACAATGATTGAATGTATAAGATACATTTAAAAAGATTAAAATATGAAAAAAAGAGAATTTAGATTTTGAGGCCCCAGCCTGATCAACCTGATTAAGATCTGATAGGCAGGAGGGCTGGAGTGGGGGATTACAGCATGACCAGAACCTCATGAGAGTGCTTCACTTAGTCTCTCTCTCTCAAGCATGTATCTGTGCTCTATCATCATGAGTAAAGAAAAACAATATCACCATATCCACATTTTTGGACATGTATATCAACCTTAAATCCAGGAATGCAATTTCTGAATCACATAGGTTTCTTAAACAGTTAATATCAATTTTCATGCCCATCAACAATTATTCCCATTTATTTATTAATTTATTGCTTCGTTTATGCCATTTATCACATCAAATAATTATTTTTAATTCTGCCTTTTTTATCATTTTTAATCCTATCATGTATAGATGTTGAATGTTATCTGAGGTCTTTTCTGTTTCTATAGAGATAATCATGTAATTTTTCTCCTTAGTCCTAAAAGTATGCCAAATAATATTAATAGATTTTTGAATATTGAAACATTCTGGCTTCCCTGAAATTTCCTGAAATTATTTGACTTGGTAAATTGTGAAATACTGTTACTATAGTTAATAGTTTTATTTATTTATTTTTTGGTATCAAAAACTAAATGAGATTGATTTTTAATCTCAACTGTGTCATCTTTACCAGGTTTAGCAATCAATGTCAAGCTCGCTTCATAAAAATAATGTGAATGTTCTCTGCTTATGGAAGACAGATGTGTCATTCAGAATCCCTTTTTAAAAATAACTGGCAGCCTAGCTGTTAAGATCGTGCTCTACTAACTGCCTCTACCAGGTTTTTCCTCAGTTTTGGAGGAATAAGCAGACAGGGTGGACAAGAGCCTAGCTATTGCCACACAACATAGGATACCTCTAGTAGACAATTTTCTTTTGGAGTTTCCTTTACATTGGCAAAGACTTGTCAGTTGTGTATCATGGTCTAAAGGCATTTCCTTCAGAATCCTATGTCCTTCCCTTTTACTTTCAAAGATGTTATTCAAAGATCAATACAAAGGAGGAAAATGTGCATTTTATTAATGTTCTGAAATAAAGAGAGAATGAGAGACAGAGAGAGAGAGAGAGAGGGAGAGAGAGAAAGTATGATAAAAGCTTTTATACTTGACCAGGTAATAGAATAACTGCCTTAACAAAGCAAGTGAACACTAAGATTATTATGAAAGACATTAATATAAAATATGAACCATTTTAAATAAGAAAAATATATATCTTGACTACTTTCAATTCTTTCCCTGCACTACTCAAAATATGATTTTTACAAAATATTAATCTCAAGTAATTTCCTGGTTAAAATAATATTATGGCTTATAATTATAATACTTTGACTGTTTCAGTAATACACTAAAATGCATTCTATACAAATATTTATTGAGTCTGTTGTTTGATACTATATTAAACTCTCAGAATTCAAAAAATGAAAAATGAACCCAGTAGGTGGCATAGTGGTTAGGGTGTTGGACTCCCACGTGACTGATGGTAGTTCAAGTCCTGGACCTGGTAGCTTAAACTCATGCCAGGAGCATGTGCCTACGTGCCCAAAATCCCTAGAGGAGAATGGAGGAGAAAGGACTGGGCATGGCCATCCCACCTGGGGGATGATTTCTCATCTCTCTGTCTCTCTGGTGAGCACACATGACCAATAGCAAAAATCTCTCAAAAGCAAAAAATGAAAATGAAGTAATACATATCCTTA